CACACAACAAGTTGTAGAACTTTTAACTGATAAGATAAAGTGTTCAATGCCTTTTGTCTATCACTCATGAAAGTTAAGGGAACATTGTTATGAAATCGTCCAAAGAATTCTTCAAAGAAACGAAAGAACTAACTCCACGTCTCTTTGTTTTCGACCTCAAGAATAGCAAATGCAATGGGAAAGATGTTGTTATTAGTATCCAATGCAACAGCAATCAACAATATTCCACCAAAACTGCCTTTCAAATGACATCCATCAAATCCAACAAAGGCTTTACAACCAGCCAAAAAGCCATCTTTCAATCCTTTAAAGCTGATAAAAAGTCTCAGGAGCCTTGGTTCAACTACTAGATTTCTCTATCATAATGAATCTTACCAATTGCTTCCATGATTCATCAGAGCTAGATTCACAGCCATACCCCCTCATCATTAGAGTTGATAACATGAACATTATGCTGGTCCTTGCTCGCAACATGTTTGTTCTAAATTCCTAAATTTCCATGGTCACCATCAATATTTCTGTTCAACAACATGTCACCCTGTTCAGTAGGGATAATGTCCATGTTGAACACTTGTATGTTGATGTAGTTGACCTTCATACACCTTGAATATTTCATGGACAGCTTCATCGTGATTCACGTCAATGTAACCCTCTGTTCTAGGTATTGCACACCTCATGTGTAGCAAATGATTAACATTTCCAAGCATTGCATGTAATGCCTTCTTGGCAACATCATTTAGTAGATTAATGAACAAATAATTTTGAGGATCTATATTAGGAATTCGCACTTTTGTCCTCCCACAATGGAGTACAATGTCATGAATATCACCAGTCACCATCCTACAATGTTAGTAGACTTTTTATGAATGATATAAACAAAAGATATAATATTAGCTCACTCCAATTTCCCGACCTTATGTAAACCACTTTCTATGATTGATATGAACAGCCCCATCACATATGCATGAATACACATTCTAGTTTATAGCTGCTATAACAAAAAATTACAAAAACATTGTCATAGAACCAACTTTAACATAGTACATCACACAGAGCAAACTAGTTGACTATAAAAACATGATCAATGACAAACACCTTAACATCTTCAACCAAAGTATACAATTTTCATATAGTTTACAATAGAAATTTGTAGTACCCAACCTTGCTTTGCTTCAGATGCTCTTAGTTCCTCAAATTCTTCACCTCTTCCAGGGAGAGCAAATTCGCACTTCAACTGTCTAGTTGCTTTTCCTCAATATGGCTGATGAAGCTATATTTCTCACCAAAATATACAATCCTTCATCCCTTTTTAGCTCTCATTGTCACATCAATCAGCAGAAGGGCGATCATTTTTGGCACCTTTTGTCTAAACTGAAATTAGGAATTGATTTTGCATCCAAATTCTAGTTAAGTTAGTTAATCCTATGTATTACTCGTCTCACTAATTATGAGTTTGATATATTTAAAAGCTTGAGTGGGTGAATAACATAACTAGAAGGCTTTTACCATTCTGCTAAATGAAAACCATCCTCAAAAGCTTTCACCATTATACCCATGTAAAATGATGTGATCAATTCAAATGGGTCTCTCTAGCTTGCACGGACCAGTTATGTATAAATAACAGAAAGTAATCTAGTCCATCATGTCTTCCCATTTCAGATAGCATAGTTATTGTCTGAAATTTCCGAAGGCACTGATTGTGATTTAGATCTTTTGACAAACAGAAGTTTCATTTGTAGCTGAGCTTGTGTTAAAGCTGTAATCTCCTGGAAGATGAATAGAATTTGAGTTGTTGCAGATTTGGATTCAGGGAGAGTAGATTGCAGAGACTTAGGCAGTTAATGCTTTTTCATCAGAGGTTTTTCCTTTTGCAATGAGATCATTAGTTAGTAGATTAATGGATTTTTGCACTCCTGTTTGTAGAAATACGTTCAGGTTATATTTTAGCTCATTGCTTGATGTATCTTGCTTTGATGCATCAATATATAAACAAATCCCTGCCATGAACTTTGACAGTTATCTGGTTGCTAACGATCCAGTAATCTTTGATAGCTATCTGGTTACTTGGCCTTTTCATAAGCTGGTGAACGGGCTTCTTAAGTTAATGCTTGATCAGATTTCTGAGACCGCTCCAATGCCTAGGGATTGTTGACCAGTGGTCAAAGATTACAGCATACCTACCATGAACTGAAGGATCTCGCTCAATACAAGGATACTGAAGGAACCCTTTGCATAGAAAAATTTAATCGTCTTCAAATGAAATTGGAGGAAAATACAAGGATATTGAACACCAAATTTGCGCACAAGGATTTATCACTCTCTCTTATTCTTTGCAATCTCTCTTATTCTTTGCCATTTGGTTTTGTTCTGGGTCTACAAAAGAAAACCAGATTCTTTGACTTCTCAACTGTACACGATCTCTAGCTTGAAGCAGTTAATGGAGGATAAAAAAACGTGGCTACTATTCTGTTCTAATGCATGCAATTTAGCAGAAACTCCGAACAAGAGGTGCAGTATTATAAGTGCAGGCTTCTGTCTCCTTATAATTTTCCCTACCCTCTCTAAATTTGTCCTCAATATCTGGCACACCTACTCATGCTCCCAGCAGAACATTAGGATTCGATTCTGGCGTCCACACCAGCTATTGCAGCGTTGGATGCATCCTATAAATCCCTTACTATTCCTGTAAGGCTCCATGGATGGTCCTCTGTGATGCACATGGTTCAAAGTCATGGTCGCGGTCACGGTCGCGGCCCAGAACGTTCCACATCGGTCTCGGCATATCGATCACGGTCTCGGTGAGACGCAAATTTTAAAGTATTTAATATTCTAAAAATTATTAATAATATAAAAAAAGTATGCTAAACAAAGATAATAAAAAATAGCAAAAGAAATGACCGAGTCAATCCGTCACGGTGTAACTCAGCCGATTTCTCATCTTGACTCGGGATAACTCGGAGTGACTCGGTGTGACTCGGCCGAGTCAATCCGTCGCGGTGACGTCTCGGCCGATTTCTCGGCGAATCAAGTATCTCGGTATCGTTTCGTCACGGTATCGTATCGGTAGGAGCCGAGACGGTGACGACTCGGCCGAGTCGTCTCGGTCTCGGCCGAGACTTCGAACCATGGTTGCAGACGAAACGTACGTTCTACATGCTTCTCTTTCATTCCAAACTGATTAAAAGAAACGTGTTGATAAATTGTAGGGAAACCATTTTAATCAGGGAAAGGTATTTTCACTTTTGTGGAAGTCATCTTATTTAGCTGCTGAATTTAGTGCTTCATATTTCATATCATAGTCACCATTAAGTGTCATTTATAACAAGATGGGGGAAATTTTCTTATTTTCCCTAAGAGATTATTGGTTCAAATTCCTTTTTTCCTTCCTCACTTCTTAAATCTCATACTTCCCTGTTGAAAATTATCTTTTTTAAATGTCTAAATTCCCCCCTTAAATGCCACCCTTCCCTATTGGAAATTATTTTTTAATGTCTAAATTCCCTCCGCTATTGAAAACTATTTTTTTTTTAAATGTCTATTTGACACCTTAATACTATAGAAACTTATTTTAAATTTTTATTTCAAGAAATGATCATGAAGTGGTTCTTTTAGGTTCCCAAGTAAGGTACGGGTACTGACTTTCGGAAATTGGTAGGAAACCCCGAAACCAAAAAAAAAAAAAAAAAACTCTTCTTGTTTTACCATGGACTAGTCGTTCCATTTCTAAATTGTTAATAGGAATTATCTATGGAGGTCTTTCAAAATAAAACATTCTACATAATCAAACAGGTAAAAACTCTTGTACATATAAAATTGTTTAGATGATCCTACCAGTCCCTTTAGAATCCATTTACAACAAATTAGTGCGCTTAACCCTTCTCAAATCTGCAAGACAATCCTTGTTAAGTGACAATTGTATTTGAAAGTGATTTATCCTTATCCTGATTGTTTTCTGCATTTTTTCAGAGATCATTACTGATTACTACACATAAATGACAGAAAATAATGCCATTAGCCAACTAAAACCATGCTTTCATTTATACATATTCATGTGCTAATTGTCAGCTCAATTGCTGAATTAGATGTAATATGATAAATAAACCTATGCTACAGGCAAAAAAGATATTATTCTTGTACATATTGTCAATAACATTCTTATCCTTCCAGCAAAATTTCTCTAATAAAATCCTAGATTGCAAGAACCCTCAAATTTCCAACTGACTTAAAAGGACCATCAAAACCGAGAAAGGCAAAACATGAAAATGAACAAAGACAAATGACCTATGAAAAGTCGTCATAACCTGCTTAGATTTGAAATCATAAATATGATCCTAAAACTAATTGGTCATAGATTACATCAGCTTCTTGATATTATGAGTGGAGGATCAGAAAAATTAAATAGAAAGAATACTCAAATGAAGAGAAACTTGAAATTCTAAACAGAAAATTTTCTTTTCTCCAAAACTTTCGTAAACAACTTAGATGATCTTCATTCTACTTGTATCAACACCCAAGATCGTATCGATCAGATAAAAATGCTCTTGCAACCTTCTCAACCTTTGCACAATGAAAATCGAAATTGGCCCTCATATCTCTGGGTTAACAAATGCAAAGTAGGGTGCAAAATTCTATCTTAGCCCACTATAGTCAAAGCTAATAGCGTAATATCACCACTGCTCCTCACCGCTCATTCCTCCTCGGTGCTCTTTTCCACCAGAAACCTGAAATATACAAAGTAATCTTGCAACACGTGCGCCACCACTTCTAACAAGAAACCCATTTTGAGTAAAAAAATCTAAATTAATTTACATTTAGTGATGCTTTAATATTAAAAATTGAAGAATTAAATAAAATTTTCGAGCTCTTAAATTGAGCTCAAATCTGTCGAATATTGAATTGAATTGGGCTCGAGTTTGAACCCAAAATTTCAAGGTTCAATCACAATTCTCTTGACAAGAGAAAGCGAAAGAAAATGCAAATCTTGGGTAAGTGCACATTGAGGAAAGAAAAAAGGCTGTTTTGCAACTCTCGTGCCAAAATTTCAAGTGCTTAGTAGTCCCTCGATTTGATTAGTAGAAATGAGAAAAACAAATGTGTATGAAATAATTTCTCACAACTTAAGCGGTCAATCCATTCACTAAATTTATGGCTGTCTTTATGTTTTTTGCCAATTCAGCTGCTGCTCCAACATAAGTTTGGGGTGTTAAATTCAAGAGCATCATCTTTGCATCTCCTGGTATATCCAAGTTCTTAATAAATTCTCTCATGCTCTCTTGGGTCACCACTCTTCCTCTTGTTACCTCCTTTAATTTTTCGTAAGGCTCTGGGACACCATATCTTCGCATGACCTAAAGACCAAACCAAAAGGATTATCATGTGAGTCGATTCTACAAAAGCTATAAAGTTAACTGAAGATAGTGAAATGAAAAGCATCCACAATCTAAAGAAACAGTAAACAGTCGGCCATTCAAAAGTGCAGTGAGTTCAAAAGGTACCAAATTAATTGTGAATTAGTCACTTGCATGCTAGAAAAGTTCCCACCGCCACCTTAGACCATTTCCTGCTAGAGGAAAATATCTGGATCACTTCCAAACGATAAGGACTTGTCTCTAGTACTTAATCCAACCCTCTACAGATTATCTGCTTGCCTCCACATCACTGTATCAACTTGTTCAACCACCTAGCTAGGCCTTTTCTCTCGAGATCAACCTACAATCACCCCTTGCCCATATAAACCTCTCCAATCTTCTTCCTTTATCGAATCTTACCGGTCATCACTTCTTCAGTATTCTAGCTCTATCCATCTTTACCCAAATGAATACCCAAACAATGACTTCCAAACACAGCACTTCTCATGTAAAAATCAAACAAAAAACCAGATTAAACTTAGTGTTTACTCATCTGTGTTAAGCATATCTTGAACCAAGTAAAAGAAGAATTTAAAAAATGAAAGACACTTCCACAAATCCTTGAGGTCTCTATATGTTAGTGAAGAGGGAATTCCCTGCTTTTCTATTACATGTCGGTGTTCCAGAGAGTGCATAATATTTTGGACTCGTGTGTCATGAAAGTAAAATTGAACAACTGAGTGCAAGTTCATCATTGACAGCTTTTAGGAGTGCGCTTTTATTGTCTATATAGAGAGTTCATAAATCCTCTTACTAGATAAATTATTGGACTCATTCTGCTTATAGAAATTACTCAAATTTAGTAGAAAATCCTGTTGCTGTAGAAAGACAAGTTCTTCCATCCTCACAGAGATGGAAGGCAGCTGTCAATGTGTTTTTAGTGTGTTCCATGTAGTTCAGTCTTTTATATTTTTTTATATAAAGAACTAAATTTTCCTTTTCCAAATCTGTCTTCCTTAAGTTGTCTTCTTCATTTTTTACCTTTTGCTTGCACTTTTCCTAATTTGAAAAACTGCGAGTCAATCAATTATATGTAATAGCTCAAAGCATTTAAAAGAGTTCCTACAAATATTTTTCCTTTCAAGTAGACAATAACCATAGCCATGGAGACAGTACAGGAGTCCCTATTAGTTGACCTAAGGGGAAATAATCTAATTATATATTTCTTTTTCAAATTCGAAGGTGTTAACAGTTATATAGAACGCGCTAAAGATGTCTAAACGTAATAAGAAATTAAACTCACACTAGAATCTTTCCCATTAACTCTTTTGCCCATTTAACTTGGGATCTTTCCATCACAGACATTATCAGACTCTGTCAAGTTATATACCAACATCTTGCTAGAAGGAGAAATTATGGCAGAAATTATGGGACTAAAACTATACACAGTTTTCCTGCCCAGCATGTCTTATCAATATGCCAAGTTACTGAGTACCAACTCATCAAAGATGCAACAAAAAGAGTAGACACCAAGTAATTGAAAACACAGATTCAATATCAATTTTTTAGAAGATATCAAATGAAGATATTCACGCACAGTTTGTATTGGTTCTGCAAGCACCTCCCATGTGTGGTTCAAGTCTTCACTCAGGGAAGCTTCATTGACCTACAATAAAACAAAACCAGCCAAATTAGAAGCAACAAAAATGATGCCCAATTGCCAGCTTTGCAAAGTTCTTAATATTTAAATAAAGATAAACTGCCTTGATTCTTTCATCTGAGAAAAGAAAAAATAGAAAAAGAAAATATATGCAAAAGAGTACATGGCTTCCTTCTAGAATGGATTCGTCAGGGGAAAAGACAAAGTGAATTTGCCACAAGAAGCTATTATTCTAGTATTGTCAGAAATGCATTTCTTGTACACATGAGATGCATTAGAGGCCACCAATTGCCAGCTGAGGTAGCCGACAAAAATCAACAAACTACAACTTTTTAGAATAATAAAAATAAAAAACTTTTTAGCAGGGTTTGATTGGGAAGGAAGAATGAAAGAAAACAGGCAAATGGAACACTAAGAATCAAAGCATCAGACCAAGATGACACATATCCATGGCCTATATCCGATTCTCAAATAACTTTTGCCTTCTGATAAGCCCTAGCTAAAATACTAAAGCAACCCAACATTTCTCAATAAACTATGTTCTACAATTGGCCTGCGAAAGCCACCATAAAGACTACTCTAACTGATGACCCTAAGAATCTTACTATGCTATTCTCTCTGAACTAGTAATCATGAAAAATCAATTACCGAGAAAACTGGTTGAGCAATTTCACAAAGCTTACTAATAGCTATTCCCTCTGAATAGATCCCAAGACATCATCTCTTCAATTAGTTATTCCCCCTTCGTTTCCTAATCAGCCATACCACACCAATGAAGCAAGATGAGCATGAGACTACTAATTCCACACAAGCATCTTTCTTTATACAATACACAACATTCAATACCCCTCTGGCACTCATATTTCTTGACCATCAATGAGAGAACAATTGTGGAATACCTGAAGCTTTCCAATGCCCATTAATGTATTCCTGTAGGCTAGAAGAGAATGTGCTAAACCTACACCCATGTTTCTCAGAACAGTAGAATCAGTCAAGTCCCTCTGCAAATGACAAGCACAGAAATCAATAAGTAACTTCAAACAGATAAAAGTGCAACTACAAAAATAAAGCACAAGCCCAAGCAATGACACATACATATCAAGCACAACCTTGGGATCTACCTAAAACAGTGTCTAATCAACTTTTTTTAAATTCAGTAACAACATCCCTAGCTAGGGTAGAAGCTTCCGAGTACAATGATGAAATGGCTATTTGCATAGAGCTGAAGATGACACAATTGAGAAAGAAAAATAATTGCACGTTTACCTGCCAGCGTGAAATAGGTAACTTCATGCTTAAATGGGACAAACCTCCATTAGCCACTCCAAGATTTCCTTCGCTATTTTCAAAATCAATTGGGTTAACCTTGTGAGGCATTGTAGAAGATCCAATCTCACCAGCTTTAGTTATCTGCTCAAAAGCATGTACAAACACCAATCTTTCATCAAGAGACAACATGTAAACATGAAACACGTGTACATATATATACATGAGAAAAGTGTTCATATAAGAACATAGAAAAAATTTAAAACAACAAAAAACAGCACTAACCTGCTTGAAGTAACCTAAAGAGATATATCCCCAGATGTCTCTATCAAAATCAACTAGAATGTTGTTGAACTGGATTATAGAATGAAAAAGTTTGGCCATGTAGTCATGAGGTTCAATCTACATTGCAGAATAATTAAATCAAAACCATGAAGTATCAAATAGTGTCATTATGTCAAAGACATAAACCATGATACTTATTTTCATGAAATTGCCATCAAATCAGAAGATCATTCATTGGGAACTAGTATTAAAACTTTCAATTAAGGCCAGACCAAGCAAATATTACTATAAGGATAGCATCACAATCTAAAAAACTCCAAATGGTAATTCTAATAGTCGAGTGGTAACTCAAAGCATTGGGTGGCCTAATGCATGACTCAAATACCACTGAAGAATAAGCTTTCTAAATCTGCCAAAACCAAACCTTTAGGATCAAACATGACAAGGATCCAATAATATATTTTAATAAACTAGTCAAGGACAATAACTAAGGGATAAGAAATGAGAAAATTTGAGCCAGAACATGATTAGTTTAGGAAAAGTACTTGAGGCACATAGGGATTGAAATCAATTCCAAGAGATGTCACAAATTCCTCCGCAACTTGCGGCCAATTGATATCATGGTACGCCACAAGATGTGCATTATAGTTTCCAACAGCACCAGCAAACTTCCCAAGTATTTTAACTTTTGAAATATCTTGCCTTTCCCAACTTAACCTGAATGCAAAAATTGCCATTTCCTTTCCCAAGGTTGTAGGTGAAGCTGGCTACAAAGAAATAGCAGATGTGAACAATTCATTCAAGTTTTAAGCTATTTGAATAGTAAAGAATCAGAAATAGATCCAGCAGTAAGTGTCATAAAATATATTGGAGATTCACTGTGCCATAAAAGGGTAGAATAATTCAGGTTGAATTCCCACGTCCAATACCCGAACCCCCTCAGGCTCAAAGAAAAAAGAATTAAAATAATAAGAAAGAACAAGTGATTGTTACCTGTCCATGGGTGCGAGAAAGCATAGGAATGTGAGCATTTTCCATAGCCATGTCACTTATGGCTGAAATCACTTCATCCATAGCAGGTATCATCACCATAGAAAGAGCTTCTTTCAGCATAAGTGCATGAGCAAGATTGTTAATGTCTTCAGACGTACAGGCAAAGTGGAAAAACTCTACCACCTAGGCAAGCGACAAGAAAAATACTGAACATATGCAAAACATGCACAGATATTATCATCATGCAGGGAAATCAAAAGAACTGAGTGTCCTAATGTCTACAGAATAGAGTAGAAGGATGACATTTCCATTCAGCTAACATCAAGGTTCCAAACTGATACCTTTCCTATCTCTGGGTGTGACTGGCATTTTTGCTTCAAAAAATATTCCACTGCCTTAACATCGTGGTTAGTCACCTTCTCAATTTTCTTGACTTCCATGGCATCATCCAAGCTAAATCCATCAATCAAGCCTTGCAAATAAGTCTCAGTATCTTTAGAGAAGCTTGGAACCTCAGGAATTTCAGGAATTTGAGAAAGTTTTAACAACCATTTCACCTACAAAAAAAGGGGTTTCGGGCTATGATTTTTGTTTGAAATTCATGAAGGCAGAGGTAACAGTACGGCAAAGAAAGAAATAAAGGACATGAAACACTCATGATCATCTATGAGATGTTAAAGCGTTAAAACTGCTCATCCAAATTCAAAGAATAAGCATGATCAAGTAAGCATGAGAATTAGAGTTGCAAAGTAATTTATTAGATTGGCACAGTAAACTTGGAAACTTGGAATTCATAAAGTTGCACAGTAAACTTGGAACCTCAGGAATTTCAGGTATTTGAGAAAGTTTTAACAACCATTTCACCTACCAAAAAAGGGGTTTTTGGCTATGAGTTTGTTTGAAATTCATGAAGGCAGAGGTGACAGTAAGGCAAAGAAAGAAATAAAGGACATGAAACACTCATGATCATCTATGAGATGTTAAAGTGTTAAAACTGCTCATCCAAATTCAAAGAATAAGCATGATCTAGTGAGCATGAGAATTAGAGTTGCAAAGTAATTTATTAGACTGGCACAGTAAATTTGGAAAGTGTGTACATAGCTCACTTCACCATATTCACACACAATATATATGACTGAAGAGGAAAGGGTCCCCTTTAAGAGATCTTTGCTCGTGAACTGAAGCATCTACCCCACCATATAGATAAACCAACACATTGCCAATAGCCATCGTACAGATCTCAAGTTAGGATGGCCAGAATATCATGTCATGCCACATTTGCAGATACAGGAAGTAAAACTCCTCTATGGATTGTATGACAACAATTTATGTTTTGAACATCACTTGCATGTTGGCAGCACTTTCAAGCCTCACGACATGATAAAAACCACAAATTGATAATACTATCCAGACCAGCACTATCTAACATCATTCCACCAATATCGCAGTCTCCATCAGCATACAAGGTGTAATATAATATGACAAATTAATCTCGCATTTTCCTAGTTAAAATATTTCTGCTGCACGATCAATAACTGTGTAAGTTTCAAATTGAAATTTCTAGAGAAACTTTGGTACTTTCCTTCCTCATAACAGCATTTTGCGGTAGGAATCACTACTACTCTTGAAATTCCCAAAGTAAAGCTTCAGCAGTCCAATTCAGCTTGACTAACAATACAACGATCAAATTTTAAAAATTCCATTTCCTTTCAATCTTATAGAATTGTCGGACAGACTAAAATAAAACTTCCAGCAAAAGCCAAAAAATATTCAAAAAAGAAAAATATGTGATTTCTGTACTCTAAAGTTCAAAATCAAGGTAGTACAGAAAGTAAAGCTCCAAAAATATTAAAGTCATGTCATGTATGTGCTAGTCTACCCATTTTGCCGTTTTCCTCTTACGTTATTTGAAGCCAACTAATTAGATAAGTTACTTCCAACCAGAATCTGAACTAATCAGGTGACCAACAATTTTCATTATGCTAAAACTTAAATAGTACATTTCAGATGGTTTGCAGCAAGAATTATCTATAAGTCAAGGAAGCAATTTAGCAATATTACTAGTTAAAGAATTGCAGTATTAGAAACATACCTCAACTAAAACCCTAAAGCGAATTAAACCATATTCACTCATAAAAAGAGCTAGCTCCTTGACCTTAGCCCAATAACGTCCATCAAGAGGACACAGAGCCGTTAGGCTTGAGAGCTTTATATCATGTGAATACATCTTCCTTCCCTATAAAAAAAATTCACAAAAACCCAATAAAATTTCACTAACGAAACCCCATAATACGAACACAAAAATTTATTTGAAACACTTCCAAGTTTCACCTACCATTTAAAAAAAACACAAAAGAACTGTAATTGCAACAAGGAAGAAGTTAAATAAGCATAAAATTATCAAAGTTTCATCAAATTAGAAAAGAAAAAAAAGTAGCCATTACTTTTTCTACAACTTCAGTACTGCTCTCTTTTGCAACGGCTTTGCAGTAGCAGCTTTTGAGAGTGTAAACCGAAGCATTTGAGAGGTGGGGAAGACGGTGATGGTAGGGAAAACGGAGGTTTAAGGTTCGATAATTGCAGATTGGATTGCAATACAGCACCGCTTTGCAATTGATACGAGATGCCACCCTAAAACTAGCCTCCACTTCCATTGGGCTAGACTTCTTCCTTGAATGAAATGACTGAAAGGATGCTTGGTTGAAGCTTCAAAATCGTAATCGTAATTGGAATTATCCTAGGTAAGTTGCCGTTGCGTGAGGCTGCCCTGATCTTGATGCTATGCTGCAATATAATAGCATGAAGATGATAAGGTGATAATATACTACTAGGAGGAGAACACCACGCAATACGCAGTGTAACTTTTAGACTTGCCTAGAAATGTCCAATTATTCAAATTGGGATATTAAATATAAAAAGTTACATAAAGGTGCACCAAAATCTTTGCGATTATTTTTTATAATTTCATTAAACAATGAAGAGAAGCCACAATTTCAGTCTATTTGCTAAATGACATTGTCATTTTTGTTTTGCTGACTAATTGGACAGCAATGGCAATGCATTAGTTTGAAAATAATATATCACAGCGTAATGCTGCCTTACATTTTCTATGTACACCAAAAATGTGTTGCTCATGAACAAATTCAACAGGAATTTATGAACAACACTAAAATATGTTGGGCCAGAAATCCATATAATTCTAAAATATAGGAATGGCTGCAGAATAGCAAGAGATACAGGACTCAAAACGATAAGGGTTGGAGAATTGTATATGCTTTCTTGTCTATGATAAGATAAACAAGCCATTATCTCATACTTAGACTCTTATCAACACAACATATGGCATTTAATTTTTGTACCAGCAACTCTTAGCATCACAAAAAATAAACATAAAATCTTATAGACTAAAAAAAGAGAGGGAACCCTAAGATTAATTAAATAACAAAAAGTTAATTGAGATTAAGCATTAGAGACTCGAATTGTACATAATCTAAGCACAACAATAGTAGTAAGGTCCACAACTACAATAGCATGGCAGTTCCATTTTTTTATTATTTTCTATCCAACCAAATCAAACTAATTTTCACTAAATATGATAACTCAAGCCAATCTCCCTGGAAAAAAATCAACAAAAATTTAATGAAAGAACCATACTCTAACAAAAGAAAAAGGACAAGAAAGATTTATGTAAATACATGAGCAAAAGGACGTCAATTATACCCGTTTTATTTTGTGACAAAACGGTGTCTTCAGAGTTCAAACTATTGTTTTATCAAATGGAATAAAAAAGTAAAGTTCACAACATTGACAAAATATACATCTAGTCTAACATGAAAACTTCACGAAGAAATGTAATTGAAGTTGGCAATATCAAACTACATCCCCTAATAAACAACCAAAAAGTTGTGAAATTTGCTTGATTGATGGCTTGATTGATGTTCTTTAAGGATCATCATCATCACAAACATAAGCTTAAAGAATAGCTTCATTACCAGTGGCACTGATAACTAACCAGGTTGGCATTACCAACCGAAATAAATTTCAACAAAAGGCAAACTACAAATTGCCTAAGAAAACTAATTAGTTTATTTTCCTTGCCAATATCGAGTTCATAAACAAACGAAAAGCAAATCTTTGCAACCCATCAATAAGATTGACAAATAACCAAAATCTAAAAAACAAAAACAAGGCTAGCATCTCTAGACAAAGGGAATGAGCAAAACTACAAGTTGAACAGAAAATGTACAACAAATAATATGGCCAAGTTGAATTCTGCAAAGAGGAAATTGACTTTAGGTCCTGGCAGTGTATGATTCCCAAAAGAAAAACTCGAAACAGTAAAAATGGAATAAGTAAAGTAAAATAGCAAAAGAAAATAAATTTGGATCTAAAGGAAATAGGATGCCGTCACAATTTTTCATCTTCACTTTTCTAAAGACTTATAACAGGGTAAAGAGAGCAGAAAGTTGCAATAACTGCCGGGAGAAAAATCTATTCACACAAAAAAAAAAAGGCATTAAAATATACCGTCAAGGCTTAACGAAGAAAAGCAACCTCTTTTAAAGTATGACTTACGGGGTGTGGACTACGAAGAGGAGGAACGATTTTGAAGGGACTAGAGTAAGATATCATAAAATGGGGAGATTTTTAAAGTTGTTAAGTCTTTTAAGGCAATAAAAGTACGCCGTTATACTGAGATGTTATCCACATGCTTTATTTATGCCACAAGTCTGCCATCAAAAAAGCAAATGTGTAGTGCAAATTTTCAACAAAACTGCAGTAGCGCTGCTTAATTGCGGCAATATAACCTTATGCCACATACAAAGTGCAGCCATAGGCCTGGCACAATTGCTATATACTCATTCGCACAATTGCTATATACTCATTCGCTGCCACTCTATATACCCATTCTTATATGTAACTACCACAATGTAAGGAGCTAGATTGTCATAAAACGAGTTCAGCCTGGCAAATATGACTTTCAAATTTAAGGTTGGCTGATAACAAAACTAAAATAATTATAGTAGTTATACTAAGGATTAATTGAACCACATAGTTGGCCAATAATTCCAGCTATATTCATTGTATATGGCAAATGAAAATACTGTAATACCATGGTCATAGTGCAATTAAGTATGAAGTTTATATTACATCAGTAATATTGTTTAATTATCATCCTGCCTACGTCATGAATGACCTAAACTTTGTCGAAGTTAATCTAATAAAGTAGATAAGCTCAAGTTGTTTGAGGATTAATATATCTAAGTTTGCAATTATATTGATGGTTCTGGAAACAGAGAGATTATACGGGTTATATCTCGGGTGAAATAAAACATAGTGCATTCCATTTTGATGTAACTAGGGGAATTAACAAGCTAGGAGTGAAGGCTCCATAAAAAATTATGCCAGATGACCAAATGTTTTCCTCACACTTCAACAATCAGGCAAGTCCTCGTTACTGCCACATTTGGCAAGAGAAAAAGATCCTAATAAAAGCTATATAGTTATCCACTACCACACTAATGTACTTCTTATTCCATTTAAGAACCACAATCCGTCAGCAAATAGGTAATGCAAACTAAAACTCAACCAGTAACAAAAGAATTGGGCAAAAATTTTCATCTAAAATAAAAATTAGGGCAACAAAACTTTGGAAAAATCGAAACAATTAGTCATCTAAATAATGAAACCAGGGTTGGTTGCACCCAAAACTCAAACAACCAAAAGAATTTACGCAGAAATTTTCAGAAAAAAAAAAGGGAAGATTAGGGCAAAACTATTTGGGGGAAAATTAGGGAGAAACAAGAGAGAGAAAGAACCTGCCTTTCCTACAGAGAATTGGTGAAAACACTTCCCGTCCAACACCGGAGAGTCACGGTAGATCACGGATTTTATGTAGAGGCCAGAAAGAGAGAGATAGAAGCAATGTTTTAAAACCCGGACCATCAATTGGACCGGTGAAGTGAAAGGGTCGAGGTTCAACCCGTCGGACCGGTTCAACCCCGGTTCAATAAATAAATAAGTAAATAATATATATATATATATATATATATATAGTCTTAAACAAAAAATTAATACGTAGCTAATTATGAATATTCAACAAATAAATTAAAACATAGCCAAGGAGGAATCTGTGATGCCAAAAGATAATCCATGAACTTTTTCCACTTATGACCATGAAACTTTCTATCTAAATTGGTACAAATCCTTACTAGACCATTATGCATCACCAATCATTACCTCAAAGACAGCGGTGAGCCATGTTTCAGAGCCCATCTTAAATTTGTATGTTTCCTACATTTTCGTTCACCATAAGGCCAAGGTAGGAAACGGACATCAATAGAATTGACTGCTTGAAATTCAAAATTGGGTTTAGTACCAACATCTGGTACCTGACCACCAATTAATTGACATTTTTGGTCGTCGGCCAAAAACTAAGGATCTAATCTACCACGAAAAAACCCCAGTTTCATACTCCCTGAAATTGGTTGCAAAATGCCTTTCAAAAAGAAGACAAAGGTGTCGCCCGAGCCAGAGCCTGAGGTCGACAAAGAGTCCAATGAGTCAGCTCCAAAAGCCGGGGCTAACAGAGGGATTTCCAAACCCAGTAATCAACAACGAACGAGTAAAAAAACATTTAATTTGAGGACAAAAACACGCACCTCGGCAGGACAAACAGACTGGTGAAAAAATTGCAGGACAAACCCAGTAATCAACAAAGCCAACTAACGAGTAAAAAACAAAACAAAAATTGCAGGACAAACCGACTGACAGCTTATATAATTTGAGGACAAACCAAAAAAAAACATTGATTTAGGCTGATCAGCTTATAATATAATCATTTAGGCTGCTGCTGCAATGACAAGTCAATAAGGATCATATGCCCAAAAATTACAGCAGTATATATACAGAGGGCCGAGGGGACGGAATGGATCATAACCAAAACTCAGTAATCAACAACGAAAGGAAAAAAAAAAGGGAAAAAAGATAAACGAACCTGGTATAAGCTTCAGGCCTTTCAGGAGTGCAATAGGAAATCTTAAATGGGAAAACCTTTCACCTCGGCAGGTTCACTTTCAGTGCTGGTAATGCTGTACAAGACTCGATCATAAATTTTGTCCCTAGAGCTGTTGATGAATTGATGGGTAGCAGCTGAGAATCGAAACAAGTGAATTGAGTTGCTCCATAGATCACTGTCCGTGATTGATTCCAGAGTTTTTTTTTTGTTGGCTTAGAATTGGGGCGGTGAGTAGAAAAACTTCATTGCTGATTGCTATGGATCAAGATTGGAGTTTGGAGTTTGGAGAAGGGATTAGGGTTAAGCCATTAAGGGGAGAAGGAAATAGAGACGGCAGGCATTTTCGGCAATTGTAGAGGAAGCAGGAAGACCGAAGCGGCGGAAAGAACCTACTGACTGAAGAGTGAAGAGTGAACTGAAGATTAGGTTTAGATAATTTCGGAATTTTGACAAAAAATTGAAAAACAGCGGTTAACGGTTCGAACAGATTTTAACGGTCTTAACATTTTTTTACGATTTTGACCGGCTCTTGGTCCAGGTCAACATAAACTATAAATCGGACCGGACACATGATCGGTTTATGATCCAATCGATCGAACCGGCCGATCCGATCCGGGTTTAAAAACATTGGATAGAAGTGAACGACAGAATTGATAAAGTGGGAGAAGAAAATAAGGGGCAATAAATCCCAACGCAATTTTGTGAGCTCTGTTTGGATTGCTCTATTTTCAAAATTAATTTTTCAAATAGAATAAAAAATTTTTGCATGTACTCTGAAAGGTAATCTAAAAATTAGTTTAAATTTTTTAAAAATTTTAAAAATATCTTAAAATATATTCTAGAAACTCTTCTACTCTTAAATATCTCAAAATATTTTTTAAAATATCCCAAAATATACTCTATTATAGTAAAAGTTTTTAGACTCAGACCGGAATTTGATTTGGCCTAATTCAAGAGTCGGAGGTCAATGGGTTCGACCGGGGTCGATAGAAGATCGAACCGAATGATGTTATAATACATCATACATGTATATATCCTCGCAAATCAAATTTATCCGTTTGCATTAGTTGTTTTAGGGGTATTTTTGAAAAATTTTACTATAGTAGAGTTTTAGTGTATATTTTGGAATATATTTAGAAAATATTTTGAGATATTTAAAAGTAGAAGAGTTTTTAGAATATATTTTGGGATATTTTTAAAAATATTTAAACTATTTTTTAGAGTATTTTTGAGAGTATTTTTAAAAAATTTTATAGTATTTTAAAAATTAATTATTGAAAAACTAATGAATCCAAGCAGAGTTATAACATCCAAATTTATCCAATTCACCAGACAAGTCACCAAATTCATTCAAACTCACAAAATTTACAAAATAGAAATCCCATACATGTTTAATCCTTGACAAATAGTAATCCAAATAAGGCAACAAGTTCATGTTCAATTCGAATTCATGTTCAAATAAGGCAACAAGTTCATGTGCAATCAAAGGTTTGGTTTGTTCATTTGGTACCTTTCTTACATAGTAAGAGTAGAGGCTAAATTTCAAAAAAAAAAAAATCAAAACCTATCAACCCCCATCTTTTGGAAAAGTTATTTTGTATCCACTCTAAATTAGCCTGTAAGTTTTTGTATAACTGTAGAACTTTTGATGTTTGACTTGGAAAATCGTAGTATATGAAAGCTTAAAATCAGAAATTGAATGAATATTTTCAGCGATCAAAACTAAGGTTTTTGGTTCATAAGTTTATTCTCCTATACATTTATGATGGATTCATTTTGCAAATAATTAGGCTTGTATTGTACAGATCTTTACTGGTGTAGAATGATGACCTCTTTGATGACAACGAAAACTACTTTACCATCCACAACAACAATTATGATAAAAATAGTAGAAATAACCCATAATTACCGGCTCTATCATTAGTTTTCCCATTTATGAAAGATCTAAGCTAATCAAACAGAAACCTAAAACAACAAAATGAAATAATTGAATTCCTTTAATCCAATAAGCTTGACACAGACTGAACTAACTCCATCCCTTATCTTATAAACAAACATACAATTCAAATGGATTTCCAGAAGACCTCAACTTGTAGTCTGAAGTAATATATGATATATTAAAAAAAAGGAGAAAATTTACCGATTGGTATAATTTGGTTGAGTCTTAAACATGAAGTCCAAAGTAGCCGATGCCAGTGGAGGTTTGAGTTCCAAAAATTACCACGGGAGCGGCTGCTGCAATCTTTGAAGAGTGGTGGTGGTGGAGGAGCTACGGTAGAAAGCAGTGGAGAGTTGGAGGCTTGAGCCTTGAAGTTGGTGTCCGAAAATTACACCAGAAGAGCAGGGGAAGTTACGGTGGTGAAGTCCATTGGAGCAGTGGAGGTCCATGAAGAGGTCGTTTCTGGATGGTCAATCCGAAGTGATTTGGTACAGTCTCTTCCTAAGTGAGATGATTTTACACTATGAGTTCCCTGGCTGAAATAAGGGGTGGGGCTTTTCTCCCCTGAGATACCTCCGATAATCAAGTCAATTTGATAGGAGAGAATAATAATAAATCTGAATATAACAGAGTTCTTATCTACCTACTAGATAAGAGAACAACTCAAGTTCTCCCTTGAATGCCAAGTGTCAATATATTGTTAGAGGAAGGAGTTAGGAAGGAGTTTGTTTTCTGATTTTTGGAATTTAAAGAGTGAGAAATGGCCTATTTGAGCCTTGGTCTTGAAATTAAAGGTCTTAATAGTTCCTTACTATTTAGGGGCTAATTGGTAACAATGGTTTAATTATTTTTATTTGTTCCTTTTGTTTTGTTTTTAATTGGTTTGAAAGGTCAATTGAATCCTTTTATGAAAACTACCTCATTAAATAGTTGCTAACTATTTAGGGTTATTTTTGTATATTTGAAAATATATCTTTTATAATTTTCTGGTCAGATGCAAATAATTGTAGACTATTTGTGGACCTTTTTATCACATGGGTTGTTTTGAATTACATTATATAATACATTATATAATTATTTTCATTTGTTCCTTCTGATTGGTTTTTAATTGATTTGAAAGGTCAATTGAATCTTTTTATCAAAACTAGCTCATTAAATAGTTGCTAACTATTTAGTGTTATTTTTGTATATTTGAAAATATCTCTTTTATAATTTTCTGGTCAAATGCAAATAATTGTAGACTATTTGTGGATTTTTTTATCACATGGGTTGTTTTGAATTACATTATATAATTATTTTTATTTGTTCCTTTTGATTGGTTTTTAATTGGTTTGAAAGGTCAATTGAATCTTTTTATGAAAACAAACTCATTAAATAGTTGCTAACTATTTAGTGTTATTTTTGTATATTTGAAAATATCTCTTTGATAATTTTCTGGTCAAATGCAAATACTTGTAGACTATTTGTGGATTTTTTTATCACATGGGCTGTTTTGAATTACATTATATTATTAATTATATAATTATACAAATTAATGCAGTCATACCCGTTAGAAGTAATGTTCCTGCCTGTTAGCATGATTAGTATGACTGATGACTCATGATGTAAGTTAGTCAACACTAGGTTAATGGTCTTATTAGTCATCGAGCTTTCTTCTTCTTCATTTACCAGAATTTCCTTTCCCCTTTTTCCCTTTCCCTTTTTTCCCATCGAATAGCCTCTTTCTTTCTCTCGAATAGTCGCTTTCTTCCCGTCGAATCAGCCTGCAAAATTTTCAGTTTTCTACCAATTCTTTCAACAACCAATTGTCCTTCCTTTTGATTGCAACCCACAAAATCCTCCACACGCACGTGAATTTTTGTCCTGCCCCAAAAATTAGGTTAGTAAAAATTTTTCCCCCAAAATCTAGAAGCCTGCAAAATCTTCGATTTTTTGTCAATTCCTCGAGCAACTAATTGTACTTCCACCAACTAATTGTACTTCCTTTCGATTACCTCTCAAAAAATCATCCACATTCGCGTGAATTCTTCTTTTTCCCCAAAATCAGCTCATTTTAGGGATGGCTGTTCTACCGACTTATCATCTATGGTACAGCTTTCAGAAGTTACTATTTCCAGCTCTATATATACCTCTGTTTCCCAGTTTTACCGGTATTCAGCAGACGAGCGAAGGAAATCTAGGTAATTCCTATTCTCTTTCCTTCTATTTCGAGCTGCAATTTTTTAGTTTTAGTTTGATGACTGAGCTGCAAATTTTAGTTTGAGCAACTAATTTTAGTTTCTGTCAATTTTTCAGTCAGCATATTAAGTTGCAATTTTTTAGTTTGATGAATGTCCTTACCTTCTGTTTATTTATTTATATTTATTGCCATGTTCTTACTTTCCGTTAATTAAAGACTGCCATGTGTTTGATATTATACATAAAAGAATAATTATGATGCTATTTTTTCGATTAGCTTACGTTTACTTTTTTTCGCTGTTTTTATATTATTTTCAAATGCTGCCGGACTTTTGCCAACATTCAGGCGAGCAAAGAAAATATAGGTATGTTTCTATTTTATCACCTTCTATTTTTGAACTGCAAGTTTTTTTTTCAATGTTGTTGCCTCTGTTTATTGCTTTCTCTTAATTAAGGAATGTGATGTATTTGATGTGAGAACCCGTAATTTTCATTTTCTAAGTTTTATTATTTTTCATGACTTGTTTTCTGCATTTTCGTGATTCGAAAATTTTTCTAGATAAATTTAAGGAGCAGATATAATTTTTAGATGATTTTTCTAGTATCGAATAGATTTTGAGAAATTAAGAGCAGATACCGGACGTGGGACCCACTAGTGCGAAAAGCCCGGAAAAATTCGGCCAACTAGATTAAGTTTTGGATACTGGAATTATTTTATCGGGTGTTAAGAGATAATTAGAGGAAGCTATTTGGATTGATGTGAGAGGGAACAAAGTGATAGACTTGCATTAAATTGGGTGACAAGTGTCACCATTTGATTGGGTTACCTTTAAGACTACTATTCCATGTCTTACCATTGACCAAATAAATCACAAAATTAACCAAAAATTGCACCATTTTCTCCTCTCAAGTGCCGGCCATCTCTCTCAAAGGAAGAAAGAAAACCTCTTCAAGTTTTGGCTTCAATCTTGCTTCAATCATCAAAACCAACCATCCAACCTTGATTTTTCTCCATAAAACACCTTCAAGTAGTGGTGGTGAGTTGTTGTGTGAAGTTATTTGGAAGGTTAAGGACCCATAGCTCTTTCTCTCTTGTTTTAAAGGTAAGTTGTGAAGAACCACCCTCCTTCTTTAATTGATGCTCAAATCATGCTTAGTGGAAGTAGAAGATGCAAGTTTATGGATTAATTCTTGATTTGTGGTTGAATTGATGACTTTTTATTATTTTTGGGGAATTTTCTGTTTTAATTCAAGCATGATGGTGTGGCTCTCTATGATGTATGTAAATTATCTA